TGGCTTTGGTGTTTTGGGGGAGGGGAGTTGGGGACTCTCATCTCAGGAGGTGATAATCACAGCCGCCTCCCCAGGAAACACACCTACCAACAAACCACTTCCAGTGTCCTCCAACACTCAGGTTAAAATTCCTGCTACACAGCCGAGTGACAAGAATGTCAAATTTTCTCAAAATATACTTTTCACAAAAATGTTATTTCTGTTACCATGTAACGGGTTATTTTTAAATGAACTAATATTTTTGAAATTTCAGGTTTAATTTCTCAAACATGACTCCACCAGCTACACCTGTGGGACCTCAGCAAGCCTGGCTCCCTGTCTCTGCAACACCAAGGTGGGCTGGAGGGGATGTAAAGGGACAGATTATAGAGAGAAAAATGTTATGACTAAGGGCAGAAGGTGTCTAAAATAAGCTAACAAGTTGGAGAGAACCATTCAGCTTTCTTTTCAGCAACAGATATTATGTCAGAGTTGCCGTAGAGATTTCAAACAAAACTAAGCTGAAGCAGGATATGTAACATACGTGACCAGAGAACAGCGCTCAAAACAACCTTTAATGTGCTTAAAACAAATCACTTTACAGAGAGCATTAACACTTTTAAAAACATAACTTTGGACACAATATACAAATTAAAACAGCTACTATAAAAAAACACCATGGCATGGTCTCATCTTCCAAAACGGACTTTAGCAATCTCTGAGCGATTGATGAAGATTCTAAATATTATGGCCTAGTTATGTCTGCACAGCTTTGAAGGTGACACTGAGGACAGTTGCTCAGAGCAGAGTTCCCTCTGTCAGTCTCCCGAGTACCCAGGAGCCCACCTGCAGCCTCGCTCCTTAAAAGTGTGCCACGAAATAAACCCGTAAGTACTGGGCAGAAACTTTTGTTTCCAGGACACACGTGGATAAGTCAAATGTAAACATCCTATTTGAAAGAGAATAAAACAAACAAAAAAATACCAATACACATCATTCAAGGAGCAGAAATTTCTAGAAAAATGTGCACAGCAGCAGTTATGACCTTTAATGGTATTTGGTTACATTGGAAGATATATTCTGCCGTACATCTCGCAGGGAAAACTTCTTTCAAGAGAGGTCATGCCTAATCTATCACACAGCGTTCAAAATGGTCAAATCTGAAACTCCCCATGTTTTTAGAGGTGAGGAAACAGGGCCATGGAAGTTAGGTGACGTCACTTAGGGCACTCAGGAGTCAGCATTTTTACTATCTACTCCCCAGGTTAAAATACTTTCCTTTCTACTGCTCTATCCTTTACTGCAGGACTTCATCTTCTTTACCAAAAACCCCATGCCATCAAATATTCCTTTGTTTTAACCAAAAACTGTTCTGCAGTATAAGCCACTGTTCCTTTGTTTTCCATGAGGCTGGTTTATAGCCAGCCAGGATTTTAGTATAAGGACCTTTTCCAGTCTTGAAGTGGTGTGTAAAGTCAACCAACCATGGGCCAAGTTCTTTTTACGTGTTCTCTGTTGAGATGATTTCCCAAGCCTGGCCACTCTGCCCCGGATGGACACCTGTTCTGCATGCCCCTCAGGCTGGGAAGTCCCAGATGGGGGTAACTGCCCCAACACAGGCGAGTTCACAGGCTGACCCCAGCAAGAGCCGGCTGTGAAGGTGACAGGACATTGAACGGGTCTGAAAGGCAGCACGGGCATAGCAGTCCTATTTGAACGGTTCAGGTTACAAGTATTCAAGTTCAGAGGAACGTTGACAGGAGAGGAAAAGAGTGCACAATGAGGGTTTCATGCACCTGGGTGGGTCAACCGTATTTGGTTAACTGGGTGGAACCAGAGGTGAAGAAGCAAGATGAAGACTGAGGAGGGAACCGACAATGAACAAAGTGAGGCTCAACCCAAAGTTCAGATGAACTCAAGTGCCTCAGTCTGTACTCCTGCAAAATAATTTACACAGTGATCTGCCAACTGTCATGCTTAATATGCCATGTTGCCTCTGGTATCCTTATGAGGAAGTAGTGAAGGGCCCACCATTTCAGTATTTTTCGGTGGTAATTTCAAGCTCTGTAGCTCCAGCTCTTAGACAGTAGCACTAGAAAAAATACAAAAAGACAAGTGGGGCATCACACTCAGGCACTGCAGGCCACACCTCAAGAGTCTCAAGCAACTGACAGTCTAGGAACCCAAACCACCTTAAAAACACATACTTTACGTACTAGCGGTTTGTTATGTCTAAGTTAACTGATAGACATTGCAGGTTCAAACTTAACATTATCCATCCTCATAGTCAGGTTCTTTCTGCTAAAACGGGAATAAATGAACCATACACACGGATATTCTTTGTCACACTAATGGTAAGAGGAGACAGGTGTGTGAGCAAGAAAGGTTTGGGGGAGCACTGGAAGCCTTAGCAGTTTTAATGAAACATCAGTAAACAAAAGGAAAGAAAACGCATACACCCTTGCAGAGTGACTAAATTTCATTTAAATCAATTTAGTCAAGAAAGTGACACAGAAGGAAGCAAGTCAAAAGCAAGAATACCACAGTAAAACGTGATTATCCGCTATAAAGACAAGGCAGAGGAAGACTGGTACCAATAATCCCCAACTACTGATATTTAAGGAACCTTTTGGATATCTGCTTTTTGCTTTGGGGAGGGCAACATATCTGCTGGAACAAACCACCTGCTGAAGAGGAGGGAGGCTTAGAATGCACCAAATGATAAGGAAAAGATATCCCCCCCCAGGGCTTAAAAAAAAAAAAAAAAGGCTACTGCCTATAATCACCAGTTAACTGTGTTTCCCCAGACAACACTGAACTCATTCTAATTTGACTTACAGGAAGGGGTCTGACACTTGGAAATTAATGTCATCTGTGATAAGACTGGGGACCTGGATGATCCAGCTCTGGAGAACGTGACACTGCAATCAAGTTGCTTCTCGACGACCAATGATCCAAAAGGGCCTACTATTAGCTCAGCCTGGGTCCAGACAGCTCCTGAATCCCTAGCCTGCGGGGCTCTAGTTCAACTACTCACAAGGAAGAAAAGGCAAAGGCAAAGTGCTGGCAACTGCAAACATTCTCAAAGCACAACTGTGCCAAGGAACGCCATCAACCCCACCAGGTAGACCCCGTCCTCACGGAGCCTTCCGGCTGTTCTTCAAGAGCCCAAAGTTGAGAAGCAAAAGTCGTCAGAACTGGCCAACGCAGAGAAAAAAACAAGTGAACGATGATAGAAGATTGTATAAAAATACCCAAACTAGCTAAACTGAGAGGTACCAACACCCCTGGGGAAAGAGGCTGTGGGAATCAGACATCAGCAAAGGAGCTAGTGTGAGACCCAAGCAGCAAAGACAGCACCAGGCAAGCAGAGGTGATAGAAGGAGGAGCCACTGAGAGGGAGGGACCTGACCTGGCCGCTGGCTTGCCAAGGAAGGAAGGATCTGAAAGCTAGAAGGAGCATGAACAACTGTGGTGAAACCCGTCTCTGCAGGAGGGCGGCTAGATTTGAGATTTGGGGGGTGGGGGGGTTACAAACTTAAAATTACCAGCTGCACAGACACAACTTCCATAACCACATCTGTATTTTCCCAGACTGAAATAATAAAAACCTAAAGAACTAAAATTTCAGGTTGTGAAGGAGACTCGGAGAAAATATCATGCAGGGAAACATTCTAGAAGAGCCTGGTTTTCACCACGCTGTTTTTCTGCCCTTAGTTAAAAGGTGTTCATGAAAAAAAAAAAAACGGAAAGGGAATATATGAGAGCAGTTACCTCTGATTCTATTATGTCTTGTCCTTCTTTTGAACTTTTTCCACTTTTCCCTGCTTTTGGTGATTCCTGGGAAACATCAAGCAAATCAATTAGGCTTCTCAATTTTTAGACTGCTAAACATCAGATAAACCAAAATGCAGTTTTAAGACGGATTTACACAATTTAACCAGAACTTCTGATAATTTTAATCAGTATCACCAAGAAATTCTGCCTCACGTTATTTAGAGATACAACACTGCGAGGCGACACCCCTACCCCCCAATTCAGGTACTCCTTGTTTTCTTGATGTGTATTTGGCGTTGAAAACTTCAAGCAGAAACAGATAAACCCACATTCACGGTACTCTGGGCGTTTTGATGGATCCACATCGCATCCCTTTCTGGCCTCCCACCGTAAACCCCGCGAGCCGGGATTTCTGGGGTGATTCTGAGATGCTACGAGCTCCACCTGGAGCAGAAACGTACCGCTCCCCCCGCCCCCCCCAAATGCAACGCAGCACTCACAGCCATCACCGCCGCCACCCAGGATGATAACAGTATTTCGGAGCCCCAGAGCGTCCCCCAGGAGAGCTGACAATTCTTCACCAGCGTGAAGCGGGGTCCATTCGCTCCCCTTCCCCCGGCCGGGGTCCCTCCAGGCGCCTGCAGCCCCCCACCCCTCAAGCCCGTGCCCAGGCTTCTGCGAGGCTGGGTCAACTACCTCCGCGCCCGCACCTGCCCCCTCACGCCCACCGCGCGCGCGGCCCTGGGGCGGGCGCCCACGCCGCCCCCACCGCGGCCGCGCCCCCGCACGCCGGCCCCGGCCGTCCGGACCCCAGCCCGGCTGGGCCCCGGCGCCCCGCCCGGCGCTCCCGCGCCCTCGGGACCCCGGAGCCCGCCGCACCCCGCTCCCGAGCAGTTCCCCGCCCGCCCTCCGCGCGGCCCCTGCCCGTCGGCGGCCCGGGCCCGGACTCACTTTCTCCTTCTTGTTTTTATTCGGCATGGCTGGTGCGGACCGCCCCCGCCTGCCCCCCGCAGCAGCAGCAGCGCCCCCGCCCCGGCCGTCGCGACCCCGGCCGCCGCCGCCGCCGCCGCCGCCCGGGACTGAGTCGCTCGCTCGCTCGCACTTCCCCTTTTCCAGGCTCCCACAGGCTGCGGCGGCGGCGGCGGCGGCTGCGGCGGCGGCGGCGGCGTCTCTCCGCCCCTCCCCTCCCGCCCCTCCCCCAGGCCCCCGGCCCGCCCCGGCCCGCCCCCGCCCGGCCCCGCCCCGCTGGCGCCCAGGCGCCCTGCCATTGGCCGAAGCGCCCTCACGTGCCCTAACGCTCTCCGCCGCGGCCCCGCCCCTGCGCGCGGCCCCGGGCCCCCCTCCCGCCCACGGAGAGCTCTGGCTCCCCGGGCCTCCTCAGCGGTCCCGGGGAGCGGCGGCGAGGGGCCGGCCGGGAGAGCCGAGCCCAGTCTCGGAAGGCGGCGCGGGGTTGCAATGACGCTGTTGGCCGGCACCCGCGGCGGAGGTGCGGGACGGAGAGAGCAGGGGGCAAGTCAGGCGTGGAAAAGGCACGTCCGAAACGGACAGCAACAACTTGTGCAGCTGGCCGGACGTGGGCTCAGCGCGACCCGCAGCCTCCCGGCCTCGCCCCCTCGCCGGCGGCGGCGCTCGCCAGGGCCAAAGGCGCCCGCGCGCCGGCGCAGAGGACCGGCTGAGGAGGCCCGGGGCCGCGCGAGCGGCGGTTTCGCTGGGCCCCCCCTGGCCCCGCCCCCGGCCGGAGGCCCCGCCCCCCGAGGCCCCGCCCCGCGGGTCGCGCCGCAGCTGCGCCAATGGGGTTTTATTTCATTCTTCAATTTGGCTCGATCGTAAGCCACGTGGGGAAACCTCTGCATTGTGACCAGGGGGTCACGTGATTTCTTTCGCCTCCCTAACAGCTGGGGGGAAATGAGTTTTCCGAGGGAAGAAAGGTAACTTTTTGATCCGCTACTTCCGCAGTCTGTCTGCTGGCGGAAGCCATGGGAGACCATTAAGGACGGGCGTGCAGACTGCAGAAACGCGTTAGGTGGTAGCCTGGAGGAGTGGACGGGTTTCACGTGCGACAAGCGTGGGTGCCTCAGCCGCGATGACGGAGGGGCTGGGTCTTAAGCGGGCACTTGGAAATCCTTGCCCTCTCTTGGGCACCCGGTTTTCGCTCCTGAAAGTTGTGAGGCCAAGCATTTTCGGTTATTCTGTTCTGCTCTGCGACGGGGAAGCTGAAGGAAGAAGAACAAAAAGATCTAAAGTGAGGATTGTCGTGGGAGGTCCTGAAAGTTCTGCCTGCAGGTGTCTGAATGCACGCCTTCAGACGAGTGTCAGCAGGTAAACCGCACAGCCTCCAACAGCTGTTTGTGCAGAAGAAACGGTTTTAAGTGGGTTAATAGTTTATCCGAAACAAATAGTTAAGAGAAAGGGGGGGTAGAACAATGCCCTCCCCCCATTAATTACGTTTCTTTTTTTTTTTTAAAGATTTTTTTTTTTTTTTTATTCATGAGAGACAGAGCGAGAGAGAAAGGCAGAGGGAGAAGCAGGCTCCCAAGGAGCAGGGAGCCCGATGCGGGACTCGATCCCAAGACCCTGAGATCATGACCTGAGCCGAAGGCAGTCGCTTAACCGACTGAGCCACCCAGGCGCCCGGTTGTCAGCCCTTTTATCTCGGTTTGGCTTTTTTTCTTTTAAAGATTTTATCTATTTATTCATTAGAGACAGACAGAGAGAGGCAGAGGGAGAAGCAGGCTCCCAAGGAGCAGGGAGCCCGATGCGGGGCTCGATCCCAGGACCCTGGGATCATGACCTGAGCCGAAGGCAGTCGCTTAACCGACTGAGCCACCCAGGCGCCCGGTTGTCAGCCCTTTTATCTCGGTTTGGCTTTTTTTCTTTTAAAGATTTTATCTATTTATTCATTAGAGACAGACAGAGAGAGGCAGAGGGAGAAGCAGGCTCCCAAGGAGCAGGGAGCCCGATGCGGGGCTCGATCCCAGGACCCTGGGATCATGACCTGAGCCGAAGGCAGTCGCTTAACCGACTGAGCCACCCAGGCGCCCGGTTGTCAGCCCTTTTATCTCGGTTTGGCTTTTTTTCTTTTAAAGATTTTATCTATTTATTCATTAGAGACAGACAGAGAGAGGCAGAGGGAGAAGCAGGCTCCCAAGGAGCAGGGAGCCCGATGCGGGGCTCGATCCCAGGACCCTGGGATCATGACCTGAGCCGAAGGCAGTCGCTTAACCGACTGAGCCACCCAGGCGCCCGGTTGTCAGCCCTTTTATCTCGGTTTGGCTTTTTTTCTTTTAAAGATTTTATCTATTTATTCATTAGAGACAGACAGAGAGAGGCAGAGGGAGAAGCAGGCTCCCAAGGAGCAGGGAGCCCGATGCGGGGCTCGATCCCAGGACCCTGGGATCATGACCTGAGCCGAAGGCAGTCGCTTAACCGACTGAGCCACCCAGGCGCCCGGTTGTCAGCCCTTTTATCTCGGTTTGGCTTTTTTTCTTTTAAAGATTTTATCTATTTATTCATTAGAGACAGACAGAGAGAGGCAGAGGGAGAAGCAGGCTCCCAAGGAGCAGGGAGCCCGATGCGGGGCTCGATCCCAGGACCCTGGGATCATGACCTGAGCCGAAGGCAGTCGCTTAACCGACTGAGCCACCCAGGCGCCCGGTTGTCAGCCCTTTTATCTCGGTTTGGCTTTTTTTCTTTTAAAGATTTTATCTATTTATTCATTAGAGACAGACAGAGAGAGGCAGAGGGAGAAGCAGGCTCCCAAGGAGCAGGGAGCCCGATGCGGGGCTCGATCCCAGGACCCTGGGATCATGACCTGAGCCGAAGGCAGTCGCTTAACCGACTGAGCCACCCAGGCGCCCGGTTGTCAGCCCTTTTATCTCGGTTTGGCTTTTTTTCTTTTAAAGATTTTATCTATTTATTCATTAGAGACAGACAGAGAGAGGCAGAGGGAGAAGCAGGCTCCCAAGGAGCAGGGAGCCCGATGCGGGGCTCGATCCCAGGACCCTGGGATCATGACCTGAGCCGAAGGCAGTCGCTTAACCGACTGAGCCACCCAGGCGCCCGGTTGTCAGCCCTTTTATCTCGGTTTGGCTTTTTTTCTTTTAAAGATTTTATTTATTTATTCATTAGAGACAGACAGAGAGAGGCAGAGGGAGAAGCAGGCTTCCCGCAGAGCAGGGAGCCCGATGCGGGACTCAATCCCAGGACCCTGAGATCACGACCTGAGCCGAAGGCAGACGCTTAACCGACTGAGCCACCCAGGCGCCCGGTTGTCAGCCCTTTTATCTTGGTTTGGCTTTTTTTCTTTTAAAGATTTTATTTATTTATTCATTAGAGACAGACAGAGAGAGGCAGAGGGAGAAGCAGGCTCCCAAGGAGCAGGGAGCCCGATGCGGGACTCAATCCCAGGACCCTGAGATCATGACCTGAGCCGAAGGCAGACGCTTAACCATCTGAGCCACCCAGGCGCCCAATTACGTTCCATTTTTAAAATAAAATATATGCTATCAATTTAACAAACCCAGTGTGCATCCATATCAAAAAGGAGTCGTTCTGGAACTGTGTCTTTATGACCATGAAGCTCTAAAGGGATAGAGGGACTTTTCTAAGACAAGTCTATGCCGCTGATATCCCTGTTATCATAGCCCCTGATGCAGAGTTGTTGCAGATCATTCACTCAACGGACTTTTGTCTGATGCCCACTGTGTGCAAGGCACAGGGCAAGGGATTCCACTGTGGACAAGGCACTGCCTTTGTCCACTAACACTACACATCCTTGAGGTGGAAACAGAAGAAAGCCAGCAATCAGGAGGATATGACATTCAACAAGTCCATGGGGACTGGGGTGAGAGGGTCTGGCTCAGAAGCGCGCCAAGAGCCCTACACAGGAGTATTTTGTTATGGCTAGAGATGAGAGCGAAGGGTCAGAGGCTCCCGATTCAGACTCTGGCTGGCCTTGCCAAGGAATTAGACTTCTTTTTGAATGTGATTCGGGGTCCCTGAAGGATGTTAAACTGGGGAGTGACATACATGTGCACGTGGAAGACATCTGTGGCAGGAATGTTGGGGGTGGGGTAAAGGCAGGAGGTCAGGAGAGCAACAGGGATGGAGTTATGGCCCAGGTGTGTGCCGGGGAGGTGTCTCTATGGCAGCAACAGGAGGAAGGGTCACAAATACCCAGGAGGTAGACTTGCTCAGTCTAATTGCTTAGTCTAAAGGCTAATGCCAACGTGTGTAGCTCAGGGAACACAGTGACAGAAGAGGGACACAGCAGAGAGCAAATTTTCCAGGGAACACGATTTCAGTTTGGGGGCACCTTGAGTTTGAGCTTTGTCTGCAACATGCTGATAGTTGGCCAATGGAAATACAGATCTGACATTCAGGATAGAGTGTCAGTGTATTGTCAGGTTAGGTATTTATCAGGTCAATTTGAATTTGACAGAAAGTATAGGGGTGAGACACTAGGAAAACTGCCTAGTGACCTTGAAGTCATAGTAACCAGAGGCACTGGGGTCAGCACCATTGCCTGACACATGCTCCTCCCTGGCCGTTGAACTGGCTTTCGATTGCCCACGTTAGCGAGGGCCATCCCATAGCCAATACTGGCCAGCAGTGAGTTATGGAAGATTCACGGAGGACCCTAGGTATGGTGCAGTGTCCTGGCTGATAGAGGGAGCTCCTTCTTTTGAAAAAAGGGATTGAAAATAAGCTATCAGTGAGATATAGAGACAGAGATTGTGTTCATACTCGTGTGTGTGCATGTATGGGTGTGTGTGTGTGCGCGCGCCTGGGGTTATCTCTTCTGAGATAACCCTGTATTCTGTGTTCATAAAGTTACTGCCCGTATTGCAGAAAAACCTTTTTCCTTCAGATCCACCTTTCTGGGACACTCTTCTGAGATGGTGAAATGCTTCTCTGTATTGTGGATTGCTTCATTTATGCCCCTGGGGTCTCTCTGGAGGAGCAGAGAGGTCCCCAGAGGATCTAGGTTTCTGACTGCACTGCAGCCACCAGACACAGACCTGCAGAGACTTGCTACTTCATTCTGGGGAGCAGAAGAGGTGCATAAAAGCAGGGCAGAGAGAAGAAGACCCTTGGTCCAGAATCAGCCGAGCTGCCCCTTCCTGCATCTGCCATTAGAAGCTCTTTCCACTGGCTTATCTTCAAGGATGCCTATGACACAGTGGCCCTGCCCTCATGTTCTTCTCTGAGGCCCATTCCAACCTGGCCCTGTCTGCCAGGCTGCAGTTCTGGTCTCCTTGACCCAGAAAGCCCCTTCTCTTGGCTCGCTGGACACCAGCTCTTGCGGCTTATGTTTCTTCATGTCCTTCCTGCCCCGCCAGGCTGTCTGAGCATTAAAGTGAGCTCGCATACTTGGATTTTTGGCTGTTTCCTGGGGTACCGATCCCATCTTCGGCCTTCTGCGTTTCCCAGGGTCCACCGTTTGTTGGCAGCTTCTGCTGCTTCTGTGGTTTGGCCCAACTTCTCAGACTGTTGTTCTCTGTCCTCCTGCTGCCTCTCTTTGGCTGTTGTCTCCCCCCCAGAGCTTGGGGTGTGCTGGCAACCCCTCCCCCTACCATGTCCATGTCACCAGCCCCAGCAGGCCCCTGGCCCCGACTCCTTACTTGTGCTCGTGGGGGCTGCCCATAGTCAGGACTGGACAATAACTTCTTCAAGGCTACCGCTGACGCCTTCCCCACTGTAGAAGTTCAACTCACCTACCCTCCTCCTCTTTCCTCACCTCATTTCCACTGAAATGTTATTAACTAATTTCTTATCGAAGTTGGATCTATTTATTCCTGCACTACACGTTTGCCTGCAGATTTGGCGTGGAGGCGTAGAGAGTACATTTAAGTCAGCTTGCATTGAAATGAAATACCCGTGTAGAGTGCCGACCACAGCAGCAAGTTTACCTGCCACCAAGTGGACAATGGTTTGATGAGTGGTGCTATTCAGTTCCAAGGACCCAAGGACACTCTCAAAATCACCACCTGAAGGTCCACAGGCGCCCAGAGATCTCTGTTAAATGAAGAAAAACCTCTTGCTTGGCTCTTGAAGAGCTTTGACAAATGCCATGAGCCAGTCGATCCCACTAGCTAGGACTAAACCCCTCCCAGTCCTGCGGCACCATACCTGGAGTCCTCCTTCCCCTAAGAAACTAAAAGGTGAGCAATCTAGGAAGGTTCTGAAAACTTAAAGTTTCATAGGTTGTTCTAAAACAACCTATGAAAGTCCTAAAAAATGTTCTAAATAATATTTCAATATATTTCATATCCAAGTATTAAAGGAAAAGGGAAACAACCCAAAATATAATTTCATTT